ATATTTTAATTTATAAAGGCAGTCAAAATAAATGATAAAAAGGCATACTACTCAAGTGTTTTGGTGGGGTCCGCGCTAAGAGGTTTGTAGGTTGACTTGTCTTCTAGTAATGCCAGCCGGAAATACGTTGTCGACAAAGACAGGGCGATTGGAATGGCCATTTCCGGCTTATTAGCCGTCATCAGCTGGCCCTATCCGAAAAACGACCAGCAAAAACAAGCAGGAGCTAAATAGGACGCTCCACTGAAATGTTAGTTTTCATATTTCCTGGCCTGTGCAATCTTGGGTCCTTCTTTTTTATTGTCGTAGTAGCTGGCTGGTAGGAGTGTGATAAGTTAGCAGACATGCATTACCCTTAAAGACAAGGGTGACTTAAACGACCATTTCTGGTTTATTAAGCGTCATCAGCCAGCTATACTTAGGCCCAGGCGTACCTTCAGCTGATTACCATGAGCGTGTGGAACGCGAAGCTTTAAAGCCTGATCAACACCTGCAGGCAAATGGTTTCTTGAGCCGTAACGCAAATAATTTTGAAAATTCCTTTCTCGTCCACGGTTGATTGTTTTTTTTTTGTTTTGCGCCTGCGGAAATGATATCTGACTCCGTCCACCCCTTTTCCTGCCCCCGAAGAAACCCTCTTCCTATTTGAATTGGAATACTGGAGGGAAGTCAACGTGGTTAAACGCCCCGCTCCTCAGACCTTGCCTACTGCTACTACTACTACCTCGGGTGCAGCCTCAGAAAGGGTTTCGACAACTGTGTCAAATCAAGCCAGTGGTATTTCGCCCGGCAACCCTACCTCAGTGGACTCTGGTCACCGTAACACGGGTTCCTCGACCACCCTAGTATCTAACACCGGTTGTGCCACCGGCTTAGACGCCCTTCCGACTGCGGACTTTACCTCCTCTTCTCCCGTTAAACGATTTGTTTTCTGCTTTCGTACTGCTGATGCAAAAGCAGACTGGCTGGGCACCATGATTGCCTTGCAGACGAAACGGTTAGTTTTTTTAATGCTTCATTCAATCGAGTAAATGCGCTATTAGGTACTCTACCTTGCGTTTGTCCGCAGACCAGGTTATTGTGCTTTTCGTGCTGCTATACACATAAAAAGCCCCGCCGTCAGCAGTGGTTCCAGAGACTAGTGGATTTTTGTTGTTGTTCTTGTTCCCCATCAATTTTCGAAATCATTT